GACCAATATACAGTCAGGAAAGGATTTTACCACCGATGTGTTTCTTCCAATGCCAATCCTAGGACAAGTCTGTTTGTTTTACTGCTTTTAAGTGTCCTTTTATTTGTGGTATATTGCTTGTGTCTAGATTCTGTTGGTGCCTTTTCGTGGTTTGAAAAAAGCCACTCCACACAAGCATGGTTCGAAAGTTAAAGTATCACGAAAAAAAGCTTTTGAAAAAAGTCGACTTCATAAAATGGTCGGCTGACAACAATTTGCATGAACTTAAAATAATGAAAAAATTTTACATTCAAAAGCGAGAGGATTACACTCTTTACAATAAGCTTTCGAAAAAGATAAGAGATATAGCAGAGAAGCTGAAAGACCTTGGCGAAGAAGATCCTTGGAGAGCTGAAATAACGAACATGCTGCTAACAAAACTGTAAGCTTTTAAAGGCAATCTTTATGTCTGTCCAGGCACAACATTGGATTGCTGCCAACCAAGGCCTCCCTCGCTCTCGCCTCTATAGTCAGTGCTTCTTCCTTTTGTCGTCGGCGGCTTCCAGTTGTCATGGTCCGTTCACATCTAGCGGAAACTATAAAGGCTGCGGTAACTTTCATTGAGCAAGGGCATGTGCGTGTTGGACCAGATACTATTCGGGACCCCGCCTTTTTGGTCACAAGGTATTATCATACGTTTCTCTCTGTAGCCTCATTGTAATAAGTTCTAGGTGTTGGCTATCCGCTATGCGCATATGTTCATGGGTCTTTATGACACATTTTATGCTTAATAATTAATCCTGCTAATGGACTTCCGGTTGACGTGCTTTCTGTTGGCATCCCAAACCCGGTTGCAGCACTTATAATATCTAACACTGTTTGAGGAAGCTATCATATGCTATATTTTAAGTGCAGGCTTAAGTCTTTTAATGTGTGCAGAATTTATTGACGTCGGAAGTACGTGAATAAGAGATGATATCATCCACTCTTTCAAAATCGCTCAACAATTCATGCATTTCGAATATTTACCATACCAACGACTTGCATATCTATGGATTAAACTTTTAATAACAGTCCTCAGGTGCCGATGGCAGAAGTGTTGAACTTTCACGAATTCCAATAACCATTTTATAAATATCTGGAACCAATCTTAGCACCCGTCGTTACGGTTTCTCCTCTCAAACCGCGAATCACTGTTTGTTCTTTGGCCCATCCCCTATTTTCTTTTTAAAGGCCGATGGAGGACTATGTGACGTGGACTCCCGGATCACGTATCAAGAAAAAGCTGCAGGCGTTTAACGACATGCAGGATGACTTTGAGGAGGATTAGAGAAGTGTATCTATTGATTTGTAAATATATCTTCAATATAATGCTCATATTTTTTGCCCATGATAACGCCATCTGAAGTCTTGAGTAGTCACAGTTCTAGAGCATGACACTTATCTAATGCCCTATAGCCGTTATGTTAAGACTTTCCGAAGTCCTGCAGACTATCCTTTCACTGTTACTGTCGGAAACCAGACATTAGGATGTTTATTCTTAACCTCGTAAGGTAGAATCTTTAATTCTCTGCTACAAGTTTTCAAGCGAATAGGTAAATGAGGCGTGCTATTTCAGTTCAATAGGCTTTCATCGAATCTCTCATGTCAATCACCACGATTCTCTTCGTTGTCGTCGTGATGGCTCTAAGTCCGTCATTTAGCTAAATCAATTAAAATTATAAACTGCACGGAGCACTGGGAGTGAGCGGATGTAAATAGCACCGGTGTTGGATGCCTAAGCTATTCCTGTCGTATTTCTTTAGGATGTTCCGATATGAAAACTGTCACATCCCAAAGACCGATATTACTGGTGCTGATTAGTAAGGACTCCTAGATAGTTCAAATATAGTGACCTGCTGAATATTAATATCAAACTTTGGTAAATCGCATCGGCCCTGCCGGAGGAAAACTTAATCTGGCGAATATTTCGTCACTTCGGGTGGATTTTCTAAAATACCTCTGGTACAAAAGGATTCAATTTCAGTCAACTACAATGTCCAACTTTTTGAATTGCACAGTAGTCCCGATTTGAGTAAGACTGTCGAGTTACTGCACATGAATGCTTTCCGTGATCATTGTCGCTGTCGTAGGTAAAATTCGAACTCCCGAATTTTGTAGTCTACTATTTCTACGCAAAACCAACTATGAATTATTTCTCTAATCGTACTTAGAACACTTGTCTACGGCAGTTAGTTCAATATAATAACTGCGATCAGTAGTATCATTGTTAAGTGTGCAAACATCGAAAACACTGTGTATGATTTCCATTGGCATGAGGACGTTAAGCTTCGCAGGTTCTCCAAAGTTTAAGTAGAAAATGTCATCAATCAGCCTCCTAGACCGGGGCAACCAGTGAAGGTGTATCAACAGCGAAAGCGATCCCGTATATCTAGCACCAATAAATAAAATGCGGTCTAGGACCACGCTTCCAAACTAGA